CTCTCTCTCTCTCTCTCTCTCTCTCTCCTGTTTTTCCTTCCTTTGAACACATGACCCCCATCCATCTCGCCATGGTTCTTGCGGCCGTCATTCGATGGCTGCGAAAGAGGGACCACTTGTGCGTTATGTCTGCTATGATTTTCATGCATGCTGTGACGAGCATGGTTGCCTTGCACAATGCGACGACAATGGTGTTGGTCCTGGCGTACCACTTGTACGAAGATGATGGTGGGGCCGATGCTTTCAATCCGTTGGGTGGGATCCTACCAAAAAGACGGTTTTGGGTTCGAGAAAGAGTGGGTGGGACGTGGGAGGAGCTTAACATGGAAGGAGTGGGACATGAGAAGAAATTCCGGTAGTACACACGTCTAACGAAGCCCCTGTTCAACCAATTTTTGCAGCGGATCGCGCCAAGAATACAAAGGATGGACACTCAGTATTGACCGGCGTTGCCAGCTTCATTGAAGTTCGCTTTCGCACTATACCGATGGGCGACCGGAGGCTATTACCAACAGTGTGGTAATGACTTTGGGCTGGGATTTCACAGCGCCATCAGATGCACAGACGATGTCGCAAGAGCTCTTTGTGCTGAGTACGGCATATGCTGTCTTGGTTGACCGGGGCTCGCCTGCGAGGTACATTGGATTACTATGAGGGTAAAGGATTCCCTGGTTGTTCCGGTGTGAGTGACTGTACATCCGGTGTGAGTGACTGTACACATATCCATATCGACAAGCCACGTGGCACCGAGGCTGAGCCGTACTTCGATAGGAATAGGCAGTACTCCCTAGTTGCGCAAGTGGTGTGTGATGAGAACCTGCACATTTTAGACGTCATCGTCGGGGTACCTGGCTCGGTGCACGATTCATGTGTCCTACGCCTGTCTGATCTGTACAAGCGCGGGGAGGAGGGGAGGGAGCCTTTCATTCGGAGGACGAACATCCTCATGGATGGTGTGGTGATGGGACGATATCTGATGGGTGACGCAGGGTATCCTATCCTTCTATGGCTGATGATTCCGCTTGGAGGACCTGAACGAACTGCAGAGGAAAGAGCGTTCGACAACAAGTTCTCCGCCCTCCGCAGTGCTATCGAAAGGTGCTTTGGCCGGTTGAAAGGAATGTGGCGTTGCTTTGGCCGGAAACAAATCGCTAATATGCGGAACGTGTGTTACCAGTTCTTTGCGTGTTGCATTCTGCACAACATTATCATCGATGCCGGCATCCCCGTCGACAAGGACTTGTTGCGCAGGGCAGGGAGGGGAGATGACGACGAAGACGACGACGACGACGATGGACATGCAGGCGGGGKTGTTGACGAAGAGGAAGACGATGCGGGGGTTGAGCAATGACAAGAAGGGTCGTTGTTGTTTGCTAGCCATTGCATACGCCGCGACTGCGCTGCGTTCCTCTGTCGTTCGCCATGCTCTCCATGTCTCAAGGGTTTTCCATGTAGACGGTGGTGCGCAGCAGTAGTAGGGGGTTCCTGGGGTTGTGCATGCGGTGAAAGGTCGTGGACAAGGACWCACATGGAGGAGAGAGAGAGAGAGAGAGAGAGAGAGAGAGAGAGAGAGAGAGAGAGAGAGAGAGAGAGAGAGAGAGAGATRGACATTGAGATTCCATGTGCTTGCAATTGTGGAGTGCAGTCTGACTGTCCATGCTGCGTTTTTTGTGTGTCAATCGTGGAATACGGTCTGCCTGTTTTCAGTCAAATGAGAAGCATTCAATGAGGACATCTCAGGGAAAACAGACTTCGGATGTTGTGGTCCTCACGTGGTGACAATTTCCGCATACGTCACAGTTATACCATGCTGTTTTTTTTGTTTTTTTTTTCGTTCAAGTACATGTATTGTATTGATCATTTGTGTTTTTCGGTCGGACCAGGGACTGCTGTTGATGCACTTCACCCACAAGTTTGCACAACAACAGCAGCAGTGCATCGAAGTGGTATGATGCAGGTGCCACCACGCCCTTGCCTGCGTGTTGTGTGCATCGATTACTTCTTCGTGTGGCACTCCAACAAGACGCCCTGTTTTGCCTTTTTTTTTTTTAGGATCGTTTTTGATTTTTTTTCCTTCCCTGCACTGCTTGTTGCCATGACAAGTATTGTTTCATCTCTCTCTCTCTCTCTCTGTGCTTGTACCATTTTGACAACCATAGCTGTGTACAACGACAATCGAAACCGTGTACTGTGTCACACCTTTGATGTGCAGATACGATGTTCGATCATGGGTGGAGGGGGACGATAACATTGTGACTGGTGATTGGACACCTGTATTCCAAACACATATGAACACATAGAATAGCAACACACATTCCAGTCGAAGATGTGAAAGCGAAACACGAAAGATAAAGATGAACCACGTATAAAAAATTAAAAATGCGATATACCCATGGAATCTTCCATGGTCATTCAAACATCAGCCATTGGTCGTTTCATCAGTTTGAGGACCCACGGAATCAAAAACATCATACTGAATAAAAACACCTGGCCGCTTCCACGTACCCATCAAGAGTGCAGGGGTGGTACTGCTACCCGCTGATCGACGCACCGACATTCAAACAAAAAATGGCCAGGCACAGGCGGCCATCCCCACTAAGAACAAAACCACCACACTATTTTTAACCCAGAGAACAAAAAATCCGAAGCTGAAAAAAAAAAAAAAAAAAAAAAATTCCGCTGGAGAGCAACTTCAAACGACTACCCCGAACACAGCACTACCGGAGGCCGCTCACGGAATTGGCCTCCATACACATGGCTCTCCTCAACTGATCAGCCACCGCCGTGACGTCACGGCGGTTGGTGTCCGGCGACACGACTGCCAGGCTGCCAGCGATGAAGGTGATCTGCTGTCCGCGGATACCCGCCTCTGCGGAGGTGTGCGTTGACCGCTGTCACGTTGCATGCGGCCCACTGACACTGTGACACTGGTGATGGTTCCTCCTCACCTGCAGCCGGGGCTCTGCACAGTTGTTACGAAACTGTCAGGCTGTCCAGGGTTATGGTCACAACCCCCTTCATAAAGTGCTAATTGCTGCTGCAGGCGCAAAACTTCCTCCCTCAGGACAGCAGTAGATCGGTCCGCAGCTTCGGTCCTTGACACGGCCACACCTTCTATCATGTTTGCCTTCTCCACCTCGCCCTGCAGACGCTGCAGCTCCTCCACCATACTCGTGAACAACACACCCTGCTTCCGTGCAAGCTCATGCGCTTGCTCAATGAGGCGCCTGTGGGTGAGCACGAAATCGCCCTCCATGTCTATAACCTCACCAACATCGCGCAGCGGAGAAGAAGACATGTGGCCACCACGCGTGGACGCTCCCTTTCAGGAATCCTGCAAGAAAGCAGTCAGGAATGCGACACGCAGATGGACGGGTGTCAGATCGTACTGCCGCACCCATGCACCCGTGTGGTGTATCCCATCAGTCCACAGAAAAAAAAAAGAAAAAAAAAAGGGGGAAGTATGTTTATGTCACATGGGAGTTTGTAATGGGCACAAAAGACAGCCTTCGGCGTCTGTGTCAGGGCCTGAGTTCGAAAAGGCGTTCGTAACTCAAGGCCGGCAGTGGTGTCAGGGCGGAGTTCGAAAAGGCGGTTNTTTTTTTTTTTTTTGTCTGTCGCACGGCGCCGGGTCGTGACGCGGCTGAAAAAAAAAAGAAAAAAAAAGGAAGAAAGAAAAAAAAAGGTCGGGTTTGGCCGATACATCTCGGCCGTGGCCAATCTGGGGTGTGGCCGAGACATCTCGGCCGTGGCCAATCTGGGGTATCGGCTGTGGCCAATCTGCGGTGTGGCCCAGACATCTCGGCCGTGGCCAATCTGGGGTGTGGCCGACGAGACATCTCGGCCGTGGCCAATCTGGGGTGTGGCTGAGACATCTCGGCCGTGGCCAATCTGGGGTGTGGCCGACACAGCTTGGCGCAGCGCCACCGACCCAAGCCTCTGCACGGCGCGGAGCAGCGCTACAGACCAAAAGAAAAAGAAAAAAAAAAAAAAAGAAAGAAAGAAAAAGAAAAAACACAACCGCCTTTCCGAACTCCGCCCTGACACCACTGCCGGCCTTGAGTTACGAACGCCTTTTCGAACTCAGACCCTGACACAGTCGCCAAAGGCCTGTTTTTCGTGCCTTTAGGAACTCAAAACATGCTGCGTCCGCCGTTGTTTCAAAAAAAAAACATAACTTTCAAATCCACAGAAATGCACACAACCAAACAGTATATGCCGAGGGTCTTTGTGGACGGATCACAAAGGCCACATGGCCACCAAACATGTGACATCAAATCTTCCGGCCGTCGTACATGACACCGTCACCGTCGCAGTGTGTGTTGGCCCCTGGAGGAACAAATGCAGGGTGTCCCGCCATCGCACCTGAAAGCATCGTGAAGCATTGCAGCAGCGTGCTGTTACCTTCTGCCATGGTCTTGTTCATCCCATCCATGGCCTGTACAAAACTCCCTGCGATCTTGTCAGCATGACGGTCATCGCTTCGGCAAGAGCATGTGCTATGCCAGCGAACGAACCTCCCCTCGAAGCGTCAGTCGAACTCTCTGGCACCGCTCGCCGATTATGGCCGCTCCCTCCCCCGGTCCTCCTAAACTTCGCCCCGTCAGTGCTGTCGCTGTCTGCTTTCCGCTGACTCCCTCCACTCTCGCTGCCGCCGCCGGTTTCATCGTCATCTGTCACCGTGTTGGTGTGCCCTCCCTGCAAATTGATGCTGTGCATCATGCCCTCACACGAGCCATCTGCCTTCCCAAGCTTCCATTGCAGAGCATCGAACATCTGTTTGTCGTAGGTTAATGGAAGGCCCGCCTCCTTTCTCTCCGAGCGTGACATGTCCCAGTAGCTCGGCTTGCCAGATTCGCCGGTGTAATTGTGGATCTTTTTCGCTTTGTTGAGAAGGCCAGAACTTCGACTCGCAGTCCTCCATGGTGCGTTTGGGGAATCCTTGTTCCACCATTTTGCCTGTTATCCAATCGTACTGAGTCTTCTCCCGTCTCCCCCTGATCTTCTGCCGCCCCCGCCTGCTTTGCTGCGTGCAGTCTTCCTCAAACAGCATCCTCACCAGTCCCATGCTCTCCTTCTCTGTCCAGTCGGGACCCCGAACTCTCGCCTTGCCCTTGTCTCGTCCCCCACGACCTCCCCCCTCTGCCCGTGTGGACCTTTTCACGCAATCCGGCTGTGGAATGACGTCATCAGACTGCACACCCCCTTCGTCGTTGTCGATGTCTACAGTCGCACGTCCTCCAGCCTGGGTCCCTGCAATGTCAACGGGGGGTTCGGCGAAAGCATCGCCCATGCCGCCATCAATGATGGGATCTCCTCCATCATGACAATGGCTTCCCATCCCGACATCACCACTCCTGGCAGAGATGCCTGCCCCGACCACAGGTGCAGAACCACGGTATAGTCCGCTGTCTGAAGAGTACATAAACTGCGGTCAAACCTGGGTGCTGTTCGGTGGTGCTGCTGCGAAAGATGGTGAATGGACCCTTCCCCCCTCCTCCCCCCGACATGGAGTTCGCTGGAACTGCTGCGAAAGATGGTGACTGGACACCCCC